TATTTTTTTATTCTTATTACTATTATTATTATTATTTTATTTTTATTACTATTATTATTATTTTTTTTATTTTTTTTATAATATTTTTGGATGCTCATAGTGCTTGCTGATTTGTGCATAAGAAGGGAAAAACGAGAGAGAGCGAGAGGAAAAAAAAAAAAAAAAAAAATTATCATCATCATCATTCTACGGGACGTTGCATTGCATGAATTTAAGGTTTTCCCATACATCCATCCATAATTCTTGCGTAGATGGCATGTACATTAAATTCTAAACGAAGTGTGAAAATCGATAGATACATCAGTAAACACATGATATAGAAGGTGTGGTCATGCTTTTTTTTCAAAAAAGATGACGATAATCGTCACAAATCGTTGAGAGAAATAATGATTATAAATAAATATCATTAATTGGTGATATTACTTTTAGATAACTATATGTGAATTGCCGATTAATCTACGGGTTGCACCTGAGAAATTTCTCAAAGGCGTAACCTTTGACGAGGTATAGAAAAAAGTTTTTTTTTTTTTTTTTTTTAAGGTTTTTCATTGTAAAAAAAGAAAAGAAAACCCCGGACGCAACTGGTTTTTTCCAATGCGAGTTAAATAAAATTTTGTCATCTGTTTATTTTTTATTTCATATACATATATTCCTATACAATATATAACAACGTATACCGTATATAGAGTATTCGGTATTGACTTTCAAATTGTGAGACGTCCGTCGTATCGGTCGTAATGGCATGCCTTGTGTGATGTTTGATCGTTCGACGACCGTATTCCACCCTTGCGAGACTTTTTGGAGGGAAGCGAATTGGGTCGTTTGGCGTCGAACCACAAACCCCGCAAAAAAAGATAAAATAATAAATAAAATAACAATAGTAAATAAATAAAAAACCTCCCATCACCCCCTCGCTTTTCATTATCTGCCTTTTATGTAAGGCACTGATCCAAACAATAAAGTCTCGAGTCGCCGCGTGTCAATGGAGATATCAACGAATTTAGAGTTTTGGCGTGAGTGACTTTTTTTTGGATGCATCAGTTTGCATCCTTGACAGCTAGGGAGAAAAAAAAAAAGGTTGAGGATGGGGTGAAGAGGGCGGGACGTCGGTTTGGGCGGGTGAAAGATGTTTGTGGATGGGCGGTAAATTTTGCATGAACCTTGAGTTTGTCCCCGTAAATCCAACAATAGCCGACCCTATATTACAGTATTATTATTAGTACATGCGGGGCACCCTTTCGCAAATGCCGGTGAATAATAAAGAAATGAGATCGCTTTGGTTACCGTTGCGTTGTCACCGAAACAAACAAACCTTGCACGAAGTATATGATCTGAATAATGGAAGGGATTGTTGTGTGTGGTCGTGAATTGTTTCTTGCTTTCTTGTTTGCCTTTTTTTTTTTCTCTCTCTCTCTCTCTCTCACTCACTCACTCACTCACCCTTAGATATTTACCGTTGTTTGTCAATGTTTGGAAGCAGCTGACCATCTGAAGAAATGGGTAGATATAGTACAAAAGAATTTCCCAATACAACAATAACAACAATAACAACAATAACAACAACAAAGAATAAATAAAAATAAAAATACTAGTCTGGTCGTTCGTCTCGAGCTCAAGAACGTCACCACCTAGCACGAGTCCTAGTAAAATCAAGATTTCACTCAAAAAGGAGGTAATGTGGGTGATACTTTAACTTGTTCTCGTCTGGGAAATTTAATTAAAACCGCAATTTCCTTAAAACCGGTCATCCTTCAAGGATCAATTTCCTTACAAGAATCCGGTGGGAGCAATCTGTGAGAGTATGCGCTATCATGGAACATCAGGAACTAAAAACTGGGAACGACATAAAAAAAATAAGCTTGTTTTTTAAGAGATTAATGATGATGTAATGCATTTGGTCGAAGGAGATTTGCAAAACAAAATCCTTCGGTGGACAAAAGATCCGAATTAGACATATTCAATTGACTTGGATGGTTTAGCGCATGCCAAATATGGCAGGTCGATGGTCGATCCTTCGATGAATAGTGCCCTAATCGATTATTGATCCTCCGAATTCCGTTTTGTGCCCATCAGCCATCATAACTTATATTCGGTGCCAATCTTTAAACTAGGGACTGAAGTTTATTATACCCTAAGGTCGTACGAAATTGAATGGATTGCCAACAATGCAGATTCGGTCCTTTTCTAGTTAATGTTAAATATGATATCATTTATGTAACACGAAAAAATTGTATTAAGACAAAAAACCAACTCATTGTTTCTATTGTTTTTTGATCCTTACACATATCCACTGTACTTGATACTGTATTTGGTCTTGGCATAGTACAATGGACAATTTGGTATGATTCATGGTCCATAACCAATGAGGAACCTCAGTTTCGAATAAAGTCGACTATCTTTTTCTCCTCCTTTTTAGGTCATCAAGGGAATTTGATAGACGACGTGCGTAACATTCATAATTTAATATTAGTTAGTTATTGAAAGATTCTATATACAAAAAAAAAAAAAATAAATAAATAACTGAAATTTATAATATACTGTAACACATGTGTAATATATAATATACAGTACATAGTAAAGTAAGCAATTCAAAATATTTGTTTTTTTTATTGTGTTTATTTACTTTCCAAACAAAAAAAAGATTATGGTACACCCAATAGAATTAGTATACTGTACAGTGAGAGTCAAAAAAAGAACCGGAATTGCCTATAGTAAAAATAATATTTGGTGGAAATCGGACAATAACATGTCTTCCGCTTTTTTAACCCTCTTCATATGTCCGAGAGAACCTGTTTACTATCTCCTTGTACCCCCATGACCCGCAGAGCGAATGAATGGATATCCTCTTTTTTTTTTTTTTAAAATAAAAAAAAAAAAAAATATAGTGGACGCAGATAAGTTCGGATTTTGTAAAAAAAAAAAAAAATAATAACGGCCGATACATGATAAATAAATATTTACGCTTCCATCTATGCTTGCTTCAACGTATTTTAAATAAACACTAGCTTATTTAAGGCAACGCTAGGATTTTCTTCTTTATTACATGTGCACATAAATTTTGCGAATCGATGTACTGTGTATGTATATGCCGGAATTTGGGTGATAGGAGGGTTTGAATATTCCGAGGTCAAAGACGAATGTGTGGCATGTATAAATCATCATTTACAGTACATCTACATATGATTTACTGATTTTTTCGCCATGACAATACAGTCATTATCATGCCAGTCCTTGATACGTCCTTTGGTGAGTCACGTGAGATGCATCATGCAAGTTCTGTGACGATGTAACATTCAAATTCTTTTATAAAAAGGCCAGTCCTTTTCAGGCAAACCACTTCCCTCAACCGATTCGTGTTCTAAACGCAATTCTATTAATTGTGTGCTGTTTTGAAAAAAATCTATTCAAAAAGAAAACAAATCGATTTCATTTCAGAACGTAAAAAGCTACTCTTTCCAGCGTTCCCATTTTTTTTTTCCAAAAAACCAAAAAATTTCTATTGCAAAAATGACATCGTCATGCGTCAAGGATTTCGTGTTCATCCAAGAAGACACCAACAAACAGAAAACCACCCCAACCAAACCGCCAGAAAATCTCATCATCGAGTTTCCTCCCAAATTTGACCTCCATGAACTCGGCGCAAAGGTTCGAACCGCTCAGGGAAAAAACACGAGGAAACCACCAAACGCATTTATTCTATTCAGGAAGAAGTATCTCGACGCACTGCATCGCCTCGGACAAAGAATTCCCATGAAGAATGTTTCGGGTTGGGCCCGCGATGCTTGGAACCTCTTGCCTCAACATCAAAAGCAAGCTTACGAAGATATCGCCACGAAAGCCGCCTCCCTATATCAAGAATGGGCTCCCCACACCCCTAGTCGTCGCACCCCTCTAAATCGTCAAACCAAAAAGCGTGATCGGCAGAGTCGCCCCAAAATCGCTGTCCAATCACCACCACCACAACCACCACAACCACAACCACCATCCCAACCCATCGTGCTCTCCCTTCCTGAAACCCTCGATACCCCCACCTTGATGGCTTCGTCTCCAGAGAAATCAACCGCAGATGAAGTTGAATCACCGACCTTGTTTCCACCACAGGAGCCCATCATTGATGGTACATTTTATCCAGAATTAGTTTACTTTAACGATCAATTCAATTTTAACCTTTATAACCTTGATTGGTTCAATTGCATCACCCCCGAAATTGATCATACAGCTGAAATTTACACTTACGAACCAGTCGTCAATTTTTGTCTCTGGGCGGAGTCATAAGACCAATAGGTATTTGACCGCTATTGGACATTTTCCCCAAAAGTATTTTATTTGTAAATAACAAGCACGCACCTTAATGCAAAAAAAAAAAAATTATTATTATTTTTTAATTTTTTTCATTGTATCTCCCTCTTAATCTCAAAAAGGACAATTGCTTTTCTTTTTTCTATTTCGCCTTTTCTTTCGCATCAAAAAAAACCAAAAATGAAAGAACGAAACAAAATCACTTTTTTTTCTTTTTTTTTTTTCTCGCTGGCAAATTCATGTCTGTTTCGTACTACCACCACCACCACCATCATCACCACTCCCTTTTCATTGTAATCCGGATTCTTTGCAAAAAATCTCAACAAACACACACCGCTTTCGTTCGCCAGTAAAACACCAAATCAAAAACTTTTTAAGATGAATAACAAACCGAAAAGTATGCAAAACTAATTACGCCCAGTCTTCCTTCCTTCCTTCCTTCCTCTTCTCTCTATGAAACCTACTACTCTAAGACTCCGTTCACCACGAAATTCATGAATTTTAATGAGGTCTTTCTTTTCTTTTTTTTCCTTATCTATTTATTCCTCAAAATATATAACGACGACAAACAAAAAAATTGGCTTTTCCTTCATCGTTTTTTCTTTCTTCCAAAAAAATTGGCACGCATTCCACATTTTGCATTTTTTTTATTTTTTCGCATTTTTTTTTATTATTTTTCGCATTTTTTTTTATTATTTTTTCGCATTTTTCTTTCGAATTGATTTTTCTTTTATTTTTTTTTTCGCACTTTATTTTTCTTTTGTTGAATCTCTCTCACAAAAAAAAATTTTTTCTTTCGTTTAAATGATTATTATTTATTTATTTTTTGCATTTCAGAAAAAAAAAAATAGGAAGCTCACACCTTCCTTCCTTTACCTTACCCACGTTTTCACGACCAAAAAGTTAGTATCATGTTGTTTGTTTTTTTTCTTTCTTTTTTTCTTCTGTATCTTGTCTTGTATTCTGTATTATTATCATGTTTTTTTTTTGTATTATTATTATTTTTATTATTATTATTACTCGTCACTTTTTTTTCATATCATTACTATTAAAAGCATGTTATTCATATTTGATGATGTACGATGTGAAGGTTTACAAATGTTGTTTTTTCCTCTTCTGCAAGATCCACCACCACACATGACGAGATGGTTGGAACAAATTTCCCCTCACGATGCGAGGACTTGATGTGATGAGCGCCGAAGTGAACAAAAAAAAGACACTCATATCACACAAGTATGAAATATCAAAAGTTTTTACTAATGACTCGAGAAAAATTTACTAACAAACACTCTTGGTTTTCGTTCGTCTTCATTAGCACTTACGAAAATCAAAGATGATAATAGTGATAATAATAAATCGAATCAATCGATCGATCGATCAATCGAAAGGACCGTTCCTTCTTTTCGATGGCAATCGATGGTATCGTGTATGAAACTTTGTTCCCCGAACGAAGCATAAAACAAGTGATCTCTCATGTACCATTTGACTTTTTCAATAGGGATGCGAGCTTTCAGATTGGGTTCGCACGTTCCAACACAATCATCCCATTGCGCCTTTGTCCTCATGCGATTTTTCTTTTGTTTCCCTCGAGGAGCATCCCCCCTTCTTTGGTGATGGATGCCCTTTGTTCATACACCATACAAGGTTCCATATGTCAGGTGATGTGCATAGTTTAATGATCTCAAACGTCGCCAGTTGGTTGACCATTGTGATCGTTCATTATCAGTTATGCCTCTTGTCACCACCACACATTGTCTAGGTATCCTGTAACAACAGTGCAAAAATATATGACGTAAATTCGAAAGAACGCAGGTCTTTATCAGGAAGACGTGCATTACGAGGTATAATGACTGACTGACCGGATGTATGTATGTATGTATGTATGTATGTACTGTATGCTCCGTATGTATCTGTGTGTGTGTGTATGAATCTATGTACGTACGTATGTATGTATGTGCGAATGAATGCGTTGGTGATTTCGAATAGTACGTGTGCGTGCGCAGTATACGCTTCGCGAATTCATTGTTTGGCCAGAGGACTTTGTTACTGAGGAATGGGAATATCAGGTGCTTTTTGTGCCACCATTTTGTCAGATGTTTGAGATTGAAAACGTGACATCCCGAATCACATGAACAAAGCGAATAAATAAATAAATAAAATTTTTAAGGGTTGCGCACACTTAGCCATTAGTTTTGACCAATGAATCGATTATCTACTGGTTTCCCATCTTGTGGTACCTGATGGGTTTTTTTCGCAAGAAGAATAGTGATCATTGATTATCCTCCACCCTCTACCCCCGCAAGTATCCGAATGAAAAATTAGATCCATCCATCTATCTAATAAGGAAAATCCCGGGGAGGTTGTTGGAGAAAACGATCGATTCATTCACCCCATTTTTTTTTTTAGATTCCTCCGACCGGAACATTTCAAAATAATTCCGATCATTGCGTTTGCCTTGTGTCTAATAGATTGTTCACAGACAGATTTGGGGCTATTGAATAACCAAAATCTTAGTTGGCGCGATTTTTCAGTTATCGAATGCACTTCCCAGAAAAAGATGTTTTTTTTTTTTTTCCTCTCCTTCTTCTTTTTCAATCAACAGTGTGAGGGCATTGTTCTTTTCTCGTGATAGAATGATTTCAGGCGCTAGCTCATTCGAATCGTCGTTCGATATTCTTGGCAGAAGATGAAACAATGCAATGACGTATGCATTTTTGAATGGTCAGATGTCAGAATGCCCGGTTTCATGACATCATAATTTTTTTTTTTTTTTTCACATAAGGGATTATGTTTCGTGATCATAAAAGGAAGTATCAACCTCCATTGTCCAAAATATGAATTTGGGGTAACCGTGCACAACATGTTAGAATCCTTTATCGTGAGGCTAAAAAAGACGATCGGCGTTTTGCATCTTACCTAGCGAATTAAGGTTACTGCTCGATGAACGCATAATAGATGGTTAACGACGACACGGTGGTAATACATGATAGCTCCTGTTACAAGATTGAATGAATTGTGAAATGTTTGAGTTTGGTAATTTGGCAAAAATGTTCACTCTGATTTGTATGTTTATGGAGCTATTGTCATTCTTGTTCTGGATTGTACGCACAACCTTAAAAAACTTTTCTTTTTTTTTTGAAGTCGGGAAAATGAAGGACGAATGGATAAATGGATGGATGAATGAATGAATGAATGAGTGAATGAATGAATGAGATTGAATACACTCAGTAGAACGCAAAGTCATACGGATGACATGTCCTACCGACTCATTTCATGATTCTCCTTCTTCTCACTGTGCGACAACAAAACCCTCGGATGAACACTCCTTTCGCCGACCGTAACCAGTTGGTCTATTAGACGAATCCATCCATTATCTTCATTATTTTTCATTACCATAATGGTTACATTCATTATCATTACTAATATCATGCCGTTATTATATTATTAGGTTTTTTATTATCATTATTATCATTATTATTATCGCGGTTATTGCTTTTATCACTGCTACCACTTTTATCGCTGCTACTATTAACATATTACAAACATGACTATTTACTCTGCATCTGACCACGAGGTGATTTGATGTGCATTGCGGTTTTTTATTTTCTTTCTTTTTTTTTTTCTCTTGTGACTAATATCTTGCAGAATTATGTTAAGTCGATCTCTTAGTTAAATTTAATTAATTTCGGTTCCCTTTTTTGGCGCGTCGAGTATGCTTATTTCATCGTCATCTTGAGCTTAATTTTGTCATATTATGGTCCCTGGTGAGCGCAAATGTTAGAGCATTACGTATGTACATAATTGCTTTCCTAATGCATCGATAACCTTAACTTTAAGTGATGTTGATAACCATCTGAAAGAACCCAAATATGGCCTTATTTACAGCTTTACATGTAAACGATGTTATTATACTTTAAGGTTTGATCACAGAAAAACTATCAAGATTAAAAAGAACATTAATTTTACTAGAAACCGTTCATAGACCATCACTGCATGTTTGATTTTTTATTTTATTTTTTTTATTTTTGTTTTTTCCAAAAAAAAATAAAATAAATTCCCATCATACAAAATTTCTTGGAGTTTACTAAAAAACGTAACTTATACTACTGATCAGATGATCACTATAATATATACGTGAGGGCTTTTTGGCAAGATTGTTCCGCAGCAAAACTTGTTGAAAAAAAACAAACCTGCAAAGATGTGTTCTTGTGGTGCTTGGGGCTTGCACGAAAATGGCGTGATCACTGTCATCTGTGCTGAGTTTCATGCATTTTTAGGTGATGTGCAACATCTCTACTAATATTACACATAAAATACGATTTAGATGAGGAAGTTGACAATGAAATTGCCTATTCTGGACTCGCCCTTTTGAGAGGGGTTCGGGTTTGTGTTTCTCGCCTGCCAAGGTTCTGTCTGGTATCGGAACCACTTTTCCATTGCAAGACGAGACAGGATTATAGGATGTTTATTGCAATTACGACATATGCATACAATTTTTCAAAACACAAGGACCTCATGCACAAAAGTTTTTTGACCTTGTTCGGTTCACCTTTCAAGCATTTCCGGAGGTTCACAATCATTTTTCCCGTGCAGTTACCCTCAGATCTTGTCGCACGTTTGTTTAATCGACATTACTTTATTCCAATTAAGTTTAACCTGTACTTTGAGAATAAGGTGACTTGTTAAATTAATTATTTCCTTTTGAGGCGATGTAACACTATTGTCTTTGTTAATTAATCTTTATAGATGCAGGATGTATGCTGTTTATCTTTTTTAATTTCGTCATGACCCACGACCCTCTTTCCTTTCACTTAAGGATTTCTGGTAAGGTACAGAAAATTCTAGACGTGCATTAATTAGATCTTGACTTTTATGGAAATATTCGTGTGGACTATTACAAGGAAACAAATTATGTTTCAGAATTTCATCATGCGTCCGTTCTGTTCAGCACCCTCTGCATGGATCATTCTGCAAACAGGCCTTTCTTAATCATCCATTGTCCAAAGCGGACTTTCTGTATTGTGTCAATGAATAAATGACCACCACGTATTTGTGACCAGTGAATAAATGACGACCACCAAAGTTGTTGTTGAGGTTCTAACCGAGTCCGGAGAATTAAAACGTCCGCTTACGTACGCACGAGCACTGTTGATTACACTAATGTGTGCGTCTATCTAACGGGGACCATTTAAAACTTGCATAGATAATGAATGAATGACTCACATTATGACCTCGATAATGAACTCGCAATAAGGGACGATAACCTGTTTTTTTATTGAACAAAGGCAACCGTTGAAAAATATCGTGATACAATGCACTGTACGATGGTCACAGGGTGCTCATTTGAGAACTACAATTTATCTTTTGTCAATGAAAAAAAAAAATCAAATACGATAAATTCAATGAATAAATAAATAAATAAATAAAAATAACTGATTCGATAGATATTATTGATCTAATTATAGATCTCCCAAAAAAAAAACCTTGAAAAAAATAAATCCTAAACCTAAAAAAAAAAACATATTTTATTTTGCAAATTTATTTTAAACAGATTCTATTTATGCCTCCACCTGAAAAACTCATTTATAGATTTTTTCTTTTTTTTTTTTCATCTTAGTTTAATGACATTAAATTAAGAAAATTTTTTAGACATGGTTTTTTTTCGTACCATCGGAAACAATGTGACCTATGCAGTAATCACCTATTTTCGTCAATCTTCTTATCATCGTTTGACAAATTTAATTTTACAACAAACAAATCTCTACAATGTATAGAACCAAAAATTTGTAATTTTAAAAATGTTTGAAATTTTTTATTTTTATGATTTTTTGTTGATAAAAAACGTTATCTCAATTTATTTTTTTTTTTTTCAATTTATAATTATATATATATAATTAAACTTGTATAAAAATAATTCTTATACAGTAAATATAAACTTTAATTGCGTGTAACATATCTTGAGTGACACTTGTTGAAAATAATGTATTTATTTATTTATTTAACATTATGTCGCTTGTTAATTGTTTGATAATTAATAAATAATTTGAAAATATCATTAAAATTTATCCCAAAATAAAATTATTATAACTATAAATCAGCATGTAAAAAATTTCATAAATGATGCAACATACAATATAATATTTATTTATTTAAAATAATTTTTTATATTCATTTTAATATATTTATTAAACCTATTTTATCAAATCTTTATTATATTCATCCATAAAGTTATTAATTTATTTGTTTATCTTGTAAACTTTTTGGATATTCATTTCTAATTTAAAAAAACAAGAATTGAATATTTACAAGAATTTTGTCAAAATTTAAAATTCTATATTTAAATAGAATAAACGTGATCAAAGATATTATAAATAAGAATTAAATATTTCTATCTAATTAATTAAAATATAATACTTTATATATTAAAAAAAATTAAAATAATTTGAAATATAATTTGATACTTTTATTATATCTAAATACAAATAAATATTTTGCTTTATTAAAATATACAATGTGTAACAAAAAAAATTAAACAAATTTTAATTTCCTTTTTTTACTTTTAATTTTATAACCAATAATTCAAATTAGTTTAAAAATTTATATTTATATATTTCAAAATATAAAAAATAAAGTTATCTAAAGAATTTTTTTTACTTGATTTATTAAAATTTAATAAAATTTGAAGTTGAAAAAAACTTTTTTTTTTAAAAAAAAAACAATAATTTTATCATTTTATAAAAAATTAATAATAATAAATACTTAAAATTATTTTAATATATGAATTTATTAAATCATAATAAAATATAAAATAAAATAATTTTTACTTGAATAATTTAACAAAATTTTGAACAAGAAAAAAATTGTTTTATATTAAACTAAAGTTTTTGATTTTTTAAAATAATTTTAAAAAAATTAAAATTAAAATAACTTTGTTAATTTCATTTATATATTACAATAAATCTTTAATAAATGTTTTATTTTATAAAAAATTTTCAATAAAATTAATATTTTTTTAATTAAAAAACTTAAAATATAAATATATAACTTTAAAAAAATTTTTTGATAACTTCAAAAAAATAATAAATTTTATATTTATATTTAAATATATTTTATTTGTAGTATAACAAAACTTTTTAAAATTATTTATTTATTATTTAAAAATCACTATATAAAATTAATAAAAAATATATTAAAATAAAATTAAAAGTCTAAAGCTTTTATTAATATAAAATTTAATAATTGATTTATTATTATTTTTTAATTATTATTTTATATCTTTTTTTTAATTATTTTGAAATATTTTTAAATAATTTTATTTCTATCTTTTTTTTAACAATCATTTAAAATTTTTTAATAATATTTAATTTTAAATTATTAAAAAACTAATTTATAACTTTAGAAAATTTTTATTAATAAATGTTTTATCAATTTTGTTTATATATTTTAAATTATTATTCTATTTAAAATAATTAAGTAATTTAATAATTTTTAGTTTATATTTTTATAAGATACAATTTTTAAATATTTTTCTAATTGGTTTTATACTTTTATATAATTAAGTAATTATATTCTTAAATAGTTGAAATATTATTTTATTAAAAAATAAAGTCTTTTTTCAATTATATTTAAAATATTTTTTTGTTTAAATAATATAAGTTTTTTTATAAATAATAATATAAAAATTTTTAAGAATAAATTATTTTTATAATTCAAGCTTATTAAATATTTTAAAATTGTTATATAAGATATTTTAATATTCATATTTAACAATTTAATTATTAAAGTTTTTATAAAAAGTTTTGAATTAAAATATAAATATTGATTAATTATTTTTGATTTATATTATATATATTTTTATATTATTATAAAAAAAAATTTAATCTATAATATAATTTTATAATTTTTTTTTTTTTGAAGGAGCAAAAGGCTATTACATTTTTATTTTATTATTATAATTTTAGACTTGTGAATACAAGATTTATAACATATTTACAATATAATATACATCTCTCTTTATTAGAAAGAGTTAAATGCAAGGCTCTGCAAATGCGATCCATCCTCTGTGCTCTTTGGTACTACCTAAAAATATAAAAAAAAGAACTTTAAAACCTATCCTTTAAATCATAGAGTATTAAAGTTGTTTTTCATTTATTTTTTTAAATAATTAAAATATTTTTCTAAAAATTTATATAATATTAGTTTTAATTATATACTATCTATTGATAGTATTTGTTTTTTATTTATTTAATAAAAATTTAGAATTTAATTATAAAAAAATTTTTTTTAATAAAGTTGATCTTAGACAAACTTGAAAATTTTTAAATTAATGTTTATATGATTATAACCAGTTTTGTAGAATTATTTGTAAAAAATAACTTTAATTATTACAATTTTAATAGTTTAATTATAAAAATTTTAATTTGTATTAGAAGCAAAGTAATTTTATCAATCCAACTGATCAATAATATCTGTGAAGAGGCAAGAGAACAAAAGAAAGAACTCTGGATCCTGTTTCAGAACACAGTCAAGGCCTTTGATACCATTAATCTCAATATGTCATACAGGACTTTGAATAGACTCAAAATTCCCACATTAATGTTGAACCTGCTAATCACACTGTTTCAAGAAAGAGGTTTCAAGTTATAACAGATCAAGACCTCACAAGTACAGTTTCAGCAGAAGATTGTATTGACCAAGGAAACACCATCTTATCACTCTTCTGGCAAATCTTTTATGATTCTTTGCTCTGCAAAATTCAAAAATACACAAACATAAGATATACCATGCAATGCACCTAGAGACTAGATGTTAAATCAGATCAAAGCCAAATGCTCAAGCTACAAAGTGCAGCAATAGCATATATGGATGACACCACCTGAATATCATACTCTAGAGCAAATCTGCAAAAAATTCTAGATGATGCCAGAAAATTCTATAAGGCAAATGACTTACAAATCAATAGCCTTAAATCAGTCTTACTAAATATAAACAGTGCAGAAGATACAGAAAACAACTCTGTAAAGATTAGAATAGATTAGGCACTAGTCTGCAGAATGGAAGCCCACAAAACAACATGATTTCTAAAAGTCTGGATTGAAAGCAAAGACCCCAAAAAGATATGATCTGTTAGGTTCAACATGAAATCAACAGAATAATATTAGTATTCAAAAACAAAAGAGCAATAGACAAACAAGCTCTATATATATTAAACAGAATCTTGGTTCCAAAAATCAAATTTAAAATACAAAACTGTCATATTTTACAAAAAGACCATGAAAAGCTCACAAGACAGTATAGGAAAATACTGAAACACAAGGCAGAAGTCTACAGCATCATCCCTAATAACACCATACACAATAAAGAAATCTTCAATTTAAAACACATATGGAATCTTCAAACAGAGTCACAAATTATTAGACTTATTAACAGTTTTAATAATAAGGGAGTCACTAGCAAATCAATAATAATAAGACTCAAACAGGCTCAGCTCAAAAACCGGAAACTAACCAATATTCTCTCAAAGAATATCCCAGACTTCTTTGACAGTAGAGGCAACTTTGCAGCCACAATCTTAAAGCTA